CAGCTGCCTCCTGCACACCCCCTACTGGGGATGTGCCCGCAACCAAGGTACGTGCCCTTGACCAGAATCGAACCCGGGACCTTTCAGTCTGCAGGCCGACGCTCCATCCACCGAGCCAAACCGGTTAGGGCCATATTATTATTTTTTAACAATTTCTTAGTGATTTCTTCTTCAGTACTTCAGCTGTCCTTTCGTTCTTTATTTTTCTCTTTTATGGATTCCATGTCTTTGGAAGCTTGTTTAGACCACGTTAATGGCCTTTTAGGCTTCCTCCACGTGAATAGGAGTTCACATTTGAATAATAAGAATTATGTGTTACGGGGGGGGGGGTGGGGGGGGCATCAGGATTTTAGAGATGCTTAGGTGGGGCGTGGCCAAAAAAATGTGGGAACCTTTGGTCTAGGAGAAAAAGATAAGTAGATGCTCTGGCCAGCATGGCTCTGTGGTTAGAGTGTCAACCTGTGCACCAGAGGGCCGTGGGTTCCATTTCTAGTCAAGGGCACATACCTGGGTTGCAGGTTCAACCCCTGCCCCCAGTCGGGGCACACGTGTCTCTGTCACATCAATGTTTCTCTCTCTCTTCCTCTCCCCTGCCTCATCCTCTTTAATAATCAATGGAAAAAAATATCCTCACTCCTTGGGTGAGGATAAAGAATTAAATTAATTAATTAATTATTTTAAATATATGTAAATGGATAATTACTTCTTAGTGTAAGGAGTGTCAGGCCATGACTGTCCTGGTCATCTTATCCCTAATCCCAGGCCAATGTCTGGCAGATAACAATAAGACTGTCACTGTTAACATGTATTTAGAAAGAAACTATGTGCCAGGCATTGTAGTAAGCACGTTTTTCTCAACATAATCCTCACAACAACTTTGTGAAGTACCACTACAATCCCAGTTTTGAAGATGTGGAAATTAAGGCACAGAGTAATTAAACAACGTGCCCAAAGTCACTCTGCTGCCTCTACATATTTGTTGTGTGAGTGAGTGAATGAATGAGAGGAAGGAAGGGAGGGAGGTGGGAGAGAAAGAGAGTGTGTGGAGACAAGTGGGCAAGCTGAAGGTGGAAGTCAGCTCTAGGTAAGATGGGGTCCACAGGCAGAAAGGGCTGGTCCTACTCCGGAAGGGAAATAATCATGAAAAGCTTCATAAAGGAAGCGGTGCTTAAACTGAATATTGCAGGATGCATAGGTGATCACAGGGAAGGGCAGGGTGAGCAGAGATAAGGCCAACCCTTCTTTTGTATTAAGTCCTTTCCCCTCACCTGCGCAAAGGCATTTTTCCTACAACTGTCCCATCTCGACTACTCATGAGTTTTTCTCTTATTCTGAGCAGCTTATAAACATGCTAAAATATTGCCTTGCTTCCCTCCTCCAGCTAATTGCCCCATTTCTCTGTCTTCCTTTATAGCAAAACTCTAGTTTATATTCCATGTCTCCAATTCTTCCGTTTCTCTTAAATCCAATGAAATAAGCATTTCGTCCCCTCGCCCTCACCCCTCCAGTGAAACAGCTCTTTTCAAGGTCGGGAGTAACCTCATGTTGCCAAATCCAGCTGTCAGTCCTGGGGCCACACCAGGCCTACCCCTATGTTTGACACAGCTGGTCCCTCTGTCCTTCTTGAGATACTTCCTTCCCTTAGCAACTGAAACATCACACTCTCTCCTCTTGCAGTGCTAAATGCTAAAGCTACTCTTTGTCTCCCAGATGTTGAGCCTTAAAATGCACTCTTCCACTGGAAATCACCCAGTGACTCTCCCCGGTGACAGAACCCCAACTTGAGCCAAGTGTTCAAAGCCTGGCTGCCGGCTGCTGCCACCTCATCCCTCACAGCACATGTGTGGTGCTGCCCTCCACGTGGGCTTTCTCACCACATCCCCCCAAGATCCCTGGGACCTGAGGGGTTCCCATTTGCAGATGAGGAAGCTGAGAATCCGATTTTCCATCGCTTGCCCAAGGCCACACAGCTCGCCGGTGTCCTCTGAGAACGCTTCTGATTCCAGATCCTGCACTTCTTACTTACAACCCATTGCTTGGCCTGATTCCTTCAACGTGGTGCTTCTGAGTGAAGCAGGGGAGTCAAGTCTGGTTCCTTCTTTCAGATTCCAGTCTGTCCATCTGGATTTCCTCTTGAGAGTGCAGTGGTTTCCACTCTTCACCCCAGGGGCTTGGTAGTCACGGTTGTAGGACAATGGGTGCTCTTACTGTTTGAAATGCTAAAGCTCCCGAAATGAAAGGCCAGCTGCAGAGTCTGAGAAGAACAAGGGCTGCATGATTTGATCAGACATCTGTGGGGGCCTCCTGGCATTTGGAGTGTGAGTGCCTTAGAGAAACTAACCATTCTGGCCCCAGGGAGTTGGCGACTGTTAGTCTTGGTGGTTTTGACCGCTAACTGCCCCAGGGGTCCCAGCCTGCTGTATGACTCAGAGTTCCCAACACTCCCCCTATTCTTCTCTTCCTGGGATAGTCAGGAGGCCATGTCTAAGGCATTTTAATTTGGTAATAATTTGACCCACCCACTGTACCCAGGGCCCTGTGTTTTGAAGTTACTGTTGCTTTTTGAATTGGGCGGAGGCAGGGGGGATCATCCTTTAGAGCCGATCATCCTAGATGTGTGACTACCTTGCACTGCCATGGGAAGAGCCTTTCCTGCTGGGTTCTGGCTCCCCGTGCTCCATCTTGTGGGTGCTCCCTCTTCTCTGCCATAGGTGACCTGAGCCCATGGACCCTGGACTGTCCCATAGCCCTTATTCTTGAAGCACCTTGCCAAAAGTTGATGGTGTAAACTAGAGAGGAAAGAGGTGGCCAAAAGTTTGTCTGTTATTGTACGTGTGTTTATGCAGTGCACTGTGTTAAAGAGGCAACTGCCATTCATCTTTCATACTCTTTGTGAAACTTTCTAGAATTCAGAAAGACCTCAGGTACCCGCTGTACAAGGTGGGCAGGCAGGTGGCGGGGGATCGGGAGACAAGGATATGAGGGACTCATGGTGCCTCGCTGCTCATATACACACTTTTGACCCTCTTCCCATCTCCAGTTGCACTGCCACTTGCACACTAGCCCTAGACTCCGCTTCCCTGTGATGGCACTTACTGCGATCCACGCTGCTGGCAATGCCGTGTTAAGAGCTCCTGCACTGGTGTTAGAAACAGGTTCAAATCCAGTATCTGTCACTTACTAGCTGTGTGATTTTGGATAAGTCTCTTCATCTTCCTGAGCTTGTGTATAAATTAATAATTAATAGCACATGGCTATTGAGAGGAGTAATTAAAAAAATCTATAGTTTTCATCACTGTGCCTAGTCCAAAAGCTTCCAATAAGTTTAGTAATTGAAATGTAGTTTACATTTTGTTTCTGAAATAGAGTTGTTTACATAAGAAAAATATTGTTATGTAAATTTTCTGATTAAGCCTTTGACTTTCTTTTGCCTACCAAATAAAGTCCCTGCCCTGGCCTGTCACTCATCATTTGCTTTTGCATTTCAGGCTTTAAATTTCATTGGTAGGGACGGCTAAAAAATACATGGACTTCTAGAAGAAATTGCACATGGATACAGAAGAGTTTGTCTAAATTCACTGAGCAGTTATTCTGTGTACGACCCTGGGCTAGGCCCTCAGGGGCACATGAGTAAGTCACACATGGCACATGATAGGCAGTGCCCCATTGTTTCTGGCTATCTAGTGCAGGTGCCAGTCCCTCCCCCCAACACCACCACCTTATATGACCCCACACAGTCCCTGCGGGAGGCAGCCCTACGGGAAATTTCCCACAGGGCCCCAGCACTGTAGAGCAGCTGGGCATCAGAGTGATCAGTTTTGGCAGCAGGTCCAAGGGCGGAGGTGAGGGGAGGCTGGGACTGGGAACTGGCAGCCAGCCGGGACTTCCTCAGGTGCCCCAGCAGGCAGGGCCTGCAGCCCCAGCAGTCACTGAAAGTATCCTGGTCTTCCCATGTAGTTTTCTCTAAACTACTCCAGCCCCACACTGAACACACAAAGGCATCGAAGCCCAAAGGTATGAGGTGACTTGTCTACAGTCACAGGGCAACAAAGCCAGGGCTAAAACACACAAGTCTTCTGAAAAATACTCAGCCATCTCTGACTTGTGGGTTCCCAAGACTGTCTTGGTTCCAGTCCAAGTACAGTGAGCCTCTCAGGGTCATTTTGTTCCTTAATAAAATTATAAGGGTCTTTGTTTGCCCATTTCTGTGTAAGGTACTGGGGCGCAGGGTTCAATCAGACTGAGCTCAGGAAATTACAGTGTAAAGAGGGAGACATGCTACCAACGACGGCACAGGACGGCGAGTGCTGATGGGAGTTAGCATGTAGTGTGGGTGGCGGGGGGCAGTCTGGAGGTCAGGGAATTACTCCCACTGAAGTTGACATCGGAGCTTAGTTTTGAAAACCCAGTGGGCATAGCCAAGTAGAGAAGGACAAGGAGGAACACTCTAGGCAGAGAGAATAGAAGAGCACAGGAGCTTTCTCAACTAAACGTCTGACGGTCACAGTAAACAGCCCCAGCGTACATATGATCTGTATTCAGGGCACCCTGAGTGGCTCCCAAGGCTGGAGAGCATCGAGGCAGATGAGGCTGGCCTGTGGGATATAGAAGGATGTGGAAAGGGCAGTGCCGCTGACTTGACCAAAGTCTGAGCAGCTCTCTCTTCAGATGTCCAGGCTCTACTTTCCCAGCCTGGGAGCCTGGATGGAGTTCCTGATTTCCTCGGTATCAGAGTTACTGCAGAGAATCTATGCGAACCCAGTGAGTTCTTTTTACTAAGTTCCAGGATGGGCCTTGCTTATTTATCTACCTAGTCCTTTAGGGCTTTTTGATTTGGGGGGGCTTGCCCCCCTGAAGCCTTGGTGTGGAAGAAGGACTTACGTGCTGATGGTAGGGAATGAAGCTTTATTCAAGGCTTAACACCTACAGCTCTTCACAAACCAGTAACCCCCTGACTGCTGAGTGCCCGGCAGGCTGTGACTCTCCTTCTCCTCCCACAGGCCTGCGGAGTTAGCCACCAAGTACGCAAACTTCTCAGAGGGAGCTTGCAAGCCTGGCTATGCTTCAGCCTTGATGACTGCCATCTTCCCCCGGTAAGTGCCCCTCTTTCTTCCCACCACCGAGACAGCCTGCCTGGTCCCTGGCGTGGGAGTCAGAAACCCTGCCCTAAGGGCAAGTGATGTGCTCCAGAGAAAACAAGATTCTGTCGTAACTTCCCTTCCGTGTCCTTGAGTCTGTGGGTACCTGGAAAGGACTTTGCTTTTAGTTGGTTCCCACCCCCATCCCACTCTGTGCCCTTGCTGTATCGCATCCTCTGTTCACCCACCTGCACAGCTTGTTCTGTGGGAGAGGCAGAGGGAGAACCTATGTGGTTGCCCTGTGGAAACCAGGCGTCCAGAGGCAGGCAAGGCAGTGGCCCAGTCATAGTACAGGAGAGCCTAGTCATAGTATCAGTGGCCAAACTGCTTATTTATTTATTTTAATTTTTAAAGGTTTTTTTGTTTGTTTGTTTTGTTTGTTTGTTTTGTTTTGTTTTTACTGAGAGAGAAGAAAGGAGTGGGACAGAGAGAGAGAGAGAGAGAGAGAGAGAGAGAGAGAGAGAAACATCATTGTGAGAGTGAAACATCGATTGACTGCTTCCTGCACACCCCCTACTGGGGATTGAGCTGGCAACCCGGCAGACATGTGCCCTGACTAGGAATTGAACTGGAATGATGCCCAACCAACTGAGCCTACCAGCCAGAGCAATGGCCAAACATTTTTGGAAGCTAGGAGAGGCAAGGCCAAATAAAGCAGGGATCAAAGAGGAGTCTCTGAGGCTGGCATCTCTCCTTGTCCACTTTGCATTCTGGATTCCTGATTCCCTTGATAACAGGCTTGCTGAACAAAGCTGTGCCAAACCCTGGGAGCTCCTTTTACCAAATGCTGCCGAGGGGCCTTGGTTACTTACCTGCCTTTTCCTTTCGGGTTTTCTTTTACTGAAGCCTTCATGTGGAGCAGGGCCTGACGTGCGGAGGTTGTCTTGTCTGCAGCCTGGAGCACAGGGAGACTGTCAGGGTTGTTTCGTTCCTTCAGAAAATTATGGGAGTGTGTGACCTGGGGGGCAGGGGAAAGGCTGCTCAGGACCCTCCGGGCATATGAATAGCTCTTGGGCCACCGGAGCAGCCCTGGGGTGGGCTGCGCTCCCTGGGGAAAGGGCTTGCACCCCATCCCTTCGAAGGCTGCGCTGCGGTTAGGGGACGCAGTGTGTTGCACAGGAGTGCTGAGAAACAGCCTGCCCAAACATAAATCCAGGATATGTGGGTTTTATGCTCCTTTTCTTTTTCTAACTGAGATGCAAACTCAGCTACTTGTGTAAAACAGGGGCTCTTCTGGCTGAAAATCTGGTGTTCACATTGTCCTGGATTTGCCTCTGAATTGATTCCAAATATTTTGCTTCCCCCAGCTATTTACTGAGCACCTCTTAAGTATCTAGCACTATGTTCCATATTCTTACCTGTGTTTTCTCAGTCCTCTGGGCCAGACACCTGTGAGTTTTCCGTGACCTGTAAATAGTTTCTTTTACTTTTTCTAATTGAAAGTAATGTGAGCATGCGATTTAAAAAAAGTAAATAACTCAAACAGGCCAAAGGATATATACTCCCACTCTAGGTCCCTTCCCCAGAGATAGTCAGTATTACCATAAATGGGAACATACTGTATTTATTGTTCTGTATCTTGCTTTTTACTCCTAATAGTCTATGTTAGAGATTATCCTATTACCAGTATAAATGGATCCATCTTATTTTTTAAATGATTTCATAATATATAATTGTAGGGATGTATCATACTTTTAGTAAAAATAAGGTTTGTTAAAGTGTAATTTACAAGCAGTAAAAATGGCTTCTGAGTGTAGTTGTGTGAATTGGGTAAATGCATGCCTGTTGCATAACCATCAATAGGACATTTCTGTCAGCACCCCCTAAGTTTCCTCGTGCTCCTTCACACTTAACCTTCCCCTGACCCCCCAACGGCCGGCCCTGATAACCACTAATCAGTTTTCTGTCCCTAAAATATTTCCAGAATTTCATATAAATGGGATCATACAGTATGTAGCCTTTTGAGTCTGCCTCTTTCACTTATTAAAATGCATTTGAGATTCACCCATGTGTTGTGTGTATCCATTGTTCCTTTTTGTTGCTAAATAGTATTCCCTTGTATGGATGTAATAGTCTGTTTATCTCTTCAGCACTCAAAAGACATTTGGGTTAATTCCAGTTTTTAGCTATTAAAATAGAGCCACTATACACATTTGTGTACAGGATGTATGCTTCACTTTATATAAGAAATTGCAAACTTTTTAAAAATTAACTACGTCGTTTTGCTTTCCTGCCAGCAGTATATGAGAGTTTTAGGTTTTCTACATCGGTGTCATCAGTGTTTTTAGTTTTAGGTATTCTAGTAGGTTTTTACTTTGTTTATAATGTTTTTATTTTCCTTTGGCTGCTTTTTGAGTGTTTCTTCTTATCACTGATTTTCAGTAATTTGATTATAATAATCTTGTTATGGTTTTCTTTACAAACCCTAGCTTGTGTTTATTTTTCTCGTTGGATCTATGGATCCATACTTCATTTTTAAAATCAAATTTGGGAGTTTTGACATTGTTTACAAATATTTTTTTCTGTCCCACCTCCCTTCTCAGGGTTCCAATTACATGTATTATACCATCAGTCCCACAGGGGGGGGTTTTGTTCTTTGTTTGTTTTTGTTTGTTTGTTTTTTTCCCAACCTGATTTCACTCTCACTCCATCCTAAGCCTCCTTCCTCCTTGTGCTCACCCAGTCACTGACTCCCACACCTGCGCACAGGTAGTGGATCAGGCAGTGGTGATGGAAGGGATGCTGATGTGCCGTGTGGTCCAGGCTGCAGAGTCCTGCTCCTCTGGGAAGCCGGCTTGTTCCCTCTCACATGTTTGAGCTCTCTGTTGGGAGATCCTCCTTTCATTCCTTATTCTTGAAACTTGCCTGCCTGGATACATCTTTGGGCAGAAGATCCAAAGGAACTCAAGTTTATTGAGCGTCTTCTCTGCTCTAAACATTGGATTGAGGCCTTTCATCTGTTGGTCTCATGGAATGGAAAAGTCATCTGTGACCTCCACCCCTTTGCATGCACCCAGTTACTCTTTTCTCAATCTGTATTACCAGTGCTACATACATAGCTCTTCATTGTATTTATAATTTGTTGATGTTTCTTCTACCATAGTAGGTTCTGCACTTCTTAGAATAGAGACATTCATGGATGCCAACACTTAGCAGAGCCTTTAGCACATAGTAGGCACTTACTGTTTGTTTTATGAATGGATATTAATATCTGCCCTCAGGAAAGTGAGGGTGTGAGGAATGTTGATAAAACACTGTTCCCATGGAGAGAGCTACTAGAAAAAAAATAATTATTTTGACACATACGAATGCACAATAGATTGGAAAGACTTGAGATTTGGAGACAGAAAGTTCTCATATCTTAACAGGCTGTGTGATCTTTGGAAAGTCTGAGCATTACTTAACTCGTTAGTCAAGAGGATGAATTGAGGTGATATATCTTGGGGCTATAAATGTTAGATCACTTTAGCATAATTGTTAGACACTTACTAAGTGAATTGTCATCTTCTCAATGACTTTTTTTATAATCAGGTAAGTTTTTTAGAAAGAAATAAAGATTTCAGATAGGTCAAGGTAAACATTTTACACTGTACGTTTAAAGAAAAAATATAACTCATAAAACCTTAATCAACACACCCATTTTCCTGGCAATGCTTTGCTACATGTGTTTGAGTGGCTTTTTTTGTGCTTTGGTGAAAGATTGAGTGGGGCCACTCAGCATTGGGAGCAATTGCGGCACCCACAGGCTAAAAGCCCTTGGCAGACATCTTCAACCGAAAGCAGAACCCAACCCCAGACCACGGCCATGCTGCGGAGCACTGCCAGCAGCAGCGACCAGGATAGCTAACACCTAGTGATGGATCAGTATTGATGTATCAGGTCCTGTGCTTAGGCCTTTTCCTATTTTTTTTTCCTGTTTTAATCCTTCCAACAATCATATGAGATGGGTGTTGTTATTAATCCTTTTTTAAATAGGGGGAAGTAGAGGGTAGAGAAGCCAAGCGATTTGCCTGAGGTCACACAGATAGGAAGTGATGAAGCCAAGTTTTAACCCAAGCCCTCTAACCACAGACTCCACAGGCTTACCTGCTGCATTCTGCGTCCTCTCGCGGCTGCCCTCTCATGGCAGGCTGGCTAGTTGTCAAAGTGCAGAGGTCTACCAGATGCCTGGTGGTAGCAAATGAGGTATCAATGTAGACTCGCTACAGCTCTACAAAAGGAAAGCCTCACTTCTCCTAAGACACACTTTGCTCTAGGAAGGCCAGGGTGCTTGGTGTTTATCTGTGATTGTGTGTGTCTGTGATTCTCACTGCTGAGGAGTCATTGCATGGTCCAAACCGGATGAATTCCCCAGAGCACAAGGATGGCCTTTGAAACCTTTCTGAGCTCTCTGAGGCAGCACGTCTGGAGTATTGACAGAGTCCCAGCTGCCTGTTTTAGGACCCTCGCGTGAGACGGTACAGGAGGCCTATCACACTGCCCTGGGGCCTTTGAGAGCTTGTGGGCTCCTGGCCAGGGTAGCTGGGTGTCTGGTATCCCCACATTCCAAACCCCCTCCCTCTCTGCCATTCCAGAAAAGGATCCTGGGACTTTTATCACTGCAGCACTGGGGGAGGGGGAGGCGGGGAGGGCGCAGCTAAGATTGAGAGGCATCCTTGCTAAGCTTGTCCTGTACCATAAATTACAGAGGAGAGCAGAGCACGGTCCACTTCTACAGAATCACTGTCCTTCCATACCAGGAGCAAACTGAGCCCCCGCCCCAACCCTGCGTGTGCAGAAGGCTTGCTATAATTGCTTTCTCCGCTTCCTCACATCCCGCTAACGCTTCATGTCTATAGTCTAGCTTCCTCTCCCACTCTCCCCTCCCTGCAGTGCCCTAGTCCAGGTCACCAAAAGGACTACCTGACACATCCAGTGGATAGACCTTCTCCTTTTTATTTTGACATCTCTGAGCA